ATTTCCCTGGGAAAACAGTAGTATTATGGAATAATTTGTTATATCCATGAGGATAAATAATGTGTTAATGGGCTAATTACAAAAGATTACCTTTGAGGACAATGTAGAGTGGAACCCCTCTGGCCATTTGGATTCGTATTCACACCACATCTCAGTCCCAAGCTTCACAGCATCATGCACATTGACAGATGAAGGACACACACGACCAGAAAAAATATTCACCAGACCACCTGTTGGATGAGTAGCAGGATCCATGGGATCAATGCAGTTTGTAAGACATTTCCTTAGCTTTTCTCTGTCTTCCTTGTCAGAGCGAATCCTCGCTGGTCCTTCTTCTTTGTGTGTTGAGACGATTAGATTAGGCTTTGATTCTTTCAAGTTTGCGAGGTCTTTGTTTAACTGACTACAAATATGGAGGCTCTGTGCCCACCTCTTCAAGGTAGATGGCTTCAGTGTTATTCCGACAATTCCCCCAGGTCCATGGCCATACCTCATGAATGTGGTCTCTATGAACATATCGGACCACATTCCATTCCACAACCCTGGATTGTGCCTGGTGACATGTTCCCCCTTCAGGAAGTGCTGGAGAACAGGATCTGGAAGCTGCTCCATGTCCCGGAGATAATAAAGTCCATACCTAGCATAATTAAAATGCTTTGCAGCAAAGAAGTATGGCATCATTGCTTTCACAGCCCAAACATGGAGCAACCAGTCTGCTTCTCTTTCTGCTCTAGAGAACAGCATCATGATCAACACCGGTTTGATCAAATTGTCAATCCAGTGTTGACATGTGGAACTTGCAGATGACAAATCAGAAAGCTCCTTCATCATTTCATCATAGCTATTGGTACTCTGAACAATAGATTTAAGTAATTCCTCAACTATCATCCTTAGAGCACGGAAATTCTGTGGGTAGTTTTTACCTGAGAGCATTTTTGATACTCCTGCAAATGTAGATGCTAGCACATCCTCAAGTCCACTTTCATCCATGAGGTGACCAACACAGCCTATAAAACTCATCAACATGTGCATCCCACCCAGTCTGTTTATGAATTTAGGAAACAAATCTGGATAGTACCATTGTACATGTACTGCCACTCTATACAGCTGCTGGTCATTTGTAGATATAGTGTAGATTTGCCCACACGCATTTGTTAATCGCTGAGCTTCAACCATTGTTGTCATCATGGTGTTTGGGTCTGAAGGTTTCATGTCGATTAGAGGTCTATAGTTAGTCTCAGTTGCAGGTTTGATTGATTGACCTTGCTCTCTGGTAATCTTAGTGTTGTAACCACCATATTCTGGAACTAAAGGGTTTGTTGCGACATCCTTAAGGAAGTCAAAATCAATTGCCTCTGCACGATTTACTACAACTTTCTGTTCCATCAACAACTCAGCTGACAACGTACCTTTCTCAGCTGCAGCTGCTGGCATTGGAGGTTTCTTTGGACCGTTGTATATCTGTTCTTTGATGTCATCGCCAACTGGTTGGTACATGTCCTGCTTAGAGATGCGGGGTATAATACAGGTCTCATCTTTTGTTTCACTTGGGTCCTTCATTTTGGTCAAGAGAAGAGCCATGGCGTGCGTTGATTTCTGACCATTTTGAGAAGAAATATTGGCATCAAAATTATCTGATATTGCTTGGATCAGTCCTTTACCTGAGAATATGCCTTCCATTTGAGCACGATGTGATGTTGATGCTGCTGCGGATGATTTGAATCTCAAAACCTCATCATAAGAACAACATATATTGAAAGTATGCAAGGTTTCAATCAGATATTTCTCCCTCAGGAATACACCTATGCTGACTTGTAGTGGAGTATACCCCTTTGCTACAGAAGATGTTATCATATTCCCCATCAAAATAGATTGTAGGGATGATTCAGCTAGTTTTGGTGATATAGCACTAAGCAGTGCTTGTAGGGTTGGGCTGATCGGCTCAGTAGCTATATCCATGTTCATTCGGATCTCATAAGAAGCTTTGTTTGGTGCATTTTCTTTGCATTCAGATATTATTTGTGAGGAAATCTTTTTAATTTGACAATTGGTATCATCTTTGTTATCACTCTGAAGATTAAGTAAACTGAATGCTTGGGTATTATGGATAAATAAACTAGCATACCCAATGGTTGATAGGAGTATAAACTCATCCTTAGTGTCATCAGATAATTTATCCATAAGACTTCTGCGTGATAGGTTGCTCCCTCCAAATGTCCTATATGTGTCATACAGTTCCACTGAATTCCACATTTTAGATTTATCTTGGCTCATTAGGGATATAAGAGATGAAAATGCAGTATCTTCAGAAGGGGATTTTGTGTTTGCTGCAATGGCATACTTGATATTTCTATCGCTCATGAAGGAAGAATGGCATGTCGCATGGTAACGGGCATCTGTCGCATGGAGGTCACTTAAAGCCCCTTGGACACGAATTTCCACTTGCCTTGATTGCTCATCTGTACGTGTTGCACATACCTCAAGGATTCTCTGTTTGAATGACTTCAGGAATGGTCCTCGTTCAACTGTTCTGCAGAGTACAACCCTTTTCCATCTCTTGGGATTCTTGGGATCCCGTTCCATTTTGCAAATTTCCCCACAAAATATGCAGTCTGAATCAAATTTAAAATCTCCGCCATTTTGTGTTTGTAGTCTCGTTCTCTTTTTAGGATGAGAGGTTTCTGCAGATATACTCAATCTTTTCCTGGCTGCGAACTTTATATGGAATGAGGATGTATAATTATCCACACATGTTGTATGACAGTTTAATGTTAAGTCCTTGTTCTCTTTTAGCCTAGGTTCTAACTCAATATGTATTACGTCATTCCGCTGTTTACTTGCATTTATTATAGATTGTATTCTTTTGGCGTGCACTGTCCTGTATTTGTTTCCTTTAATATTGCAATTAAAGAAACAATCTGCCATCTGTAATAAGAAAAGTGTCATGTTTGAAAATGATATGAAAAAAATATGTAATATGCTGTTGGTGGGGTGTGTGGGGGGGGTGATTATCTAATTTATCATTAATTACTCACTCATAATATTTTCTAGACAAGATTAAACATTAATAAACTGTCAAATAGTACATATAAAAAACATATTTGTCAAAATTACATACCGTTTCTCCATTTGAAACAATCAGTAATCTGTATTAGAGATATCAGCATCTATAAGTTTTAACAGCTCATCTCATCTCTACCTATCTCTGTTTGTAATGCAGCTGATACAATGGTATAAACACAGGGCATAGCAAAGGAATTTGAATAGAAATGATAACAATAGGGATTAAGAACTTTATAATTGCCATTGCATTCCTTTTCTTTGAAAGGACAACCAGTGAAGCCCCTTCAGCTGGAATGTGTCATCAATCTGTAACATTACTCTTATATAACATTATTACATGCATCATAACAATTAATACATGTAATCATCATACCTAAACATATGTTTAATGTTTTTTATGTATTTACAGTATATGTATGAGTGTCAGGTAGCATTTATTGGGATGTTACTTTGTGAATATTCTTAATTCTGTCTACCAAGTTTATCTTGTTCTGACTGTTGATTTAATGGCCTCATTAGCATAATTAACATAATTAGCATATTTTTAAGAGATAGAAACAATTCATAAACACATACATATACTATCTATGTCATTTATTAATCAAGAATCACTGATAGGGGACATTTAAATCCATTTAATAACATGAATTCAACCAAATGTGCCACGCCCCCTTTCAGAAATATTACATAATTTTAAAAAGACAATAGAAAAAAATGCTCAACCTCCCACAACTGCATATTTGTGGTTTTGTGACCAGGACATGTCTAACTATCAGAAAATGCAATAAAACATTGTATATACTCCAAAACAAGGTTCAGTGATAAATCCTTAGTTTTCTTCTAGACTATAAAACAGTATTATATAAATAGATTTTATTTTATATATTTATAAACATTTGAACATCAAATGTAAATACATGTAATGTGTCATACATTTATATACTCACCTAATGAAAATGTTTTATTTTTAAATCAATTTCTAGTTTTGATAGTTTAGTTTATATGGAGATTTCTAGCTCTACTGTATCTACCAGTTAACATGTACATTCATAATATCAAAGTACAGCTGTATACATCTACAGTATATTATTCCTCACCTCAACTAAACTCTGCTGGATCTATGCCAGTCAACAACTTCTTTGAAATATTATTTTTACAATATTTTTCATAAATGACATTCCTCGCCATACATCTGAGTTCTACTTCATTTTAATTATGAATAATTAATTTCACTTTTCAGGTTATTTGAGAGAAATTCTAAAAAGTGGACGTTTCTGTATCTAATTTATCAATTATATTACTTTATCCCGTTCCCGGACTATAGTCCTGCACTGATCGCATTCATTTGCCTGTACGATTACAACTTGGGAGAATTATCTACGCCCCTTACACTTAAGATACCTACCTCAATGCATTATAGAACTCAAGATGTAACTTCTAATATATTGGAACCGCCGATTGTCTGGGTATATCGGCAGAACGGGAACATTTTCTCTTTTTCATCGAGAGAGATTCCATCACTTTTCAAAATGGCGGTTGGATTTAAAAGGGGAAACCCCCGTTTGGCTGTCCCGGATGTAGCACGGAAGTACCAATATGGAGGAATTTGACGGTTGAAATAAGTTAAATGTTACACGCAAATATTGCGATAAAAAACGAAAATGTCTTCGTTCTGCCGATAAACCCAGACAATTGTGGATTCAACTACACGAAAAGAATGCTAAATTACCAAGGAATCTATTGAAGTAGGTATCTGAAGTGTAAGATCAGTAAAAAATTCTCCCATGTTGTAATCGCACAGGCAAAAGATTGAGATGTTCACAGGACCATAGTCCGGGAACGGGATAAATATTACTTGTTCATATTTCAATATATCTCAACTCAATCTAGGGTCACATTGGTTTGCTATTGAAAAGATTGCTCTCAAAATTTTACACTCTGCATGCTTTCCTGCCACTTTAAATATTTGTAATTCATTCACAAAATGTCTATGAATAAAATCAGAAGGAATGGAAATGATCTACATTCTCTCTGTTATAAGCATGATTGAACTCATTGATCCAAGTTATAAAATATTGAACACCATTTAGCATTTAATACCAAGTGTTTCAGGCTTCTCTTTAAATTTATACACTGTATTTCTGTATTTGTAGCTTTGTGTTCACATGGCTGCACATATTCAACTTTTGTTGTTTCCTAGTTGAACTACAGTATTTGTTTTTTTATAGAGTGTCATTTTTATACATACAAAAATGGCCATAAAATGTTTATGGCCATGTTAATGTTTATAAATTCTGTATATCTAGTATATCTGTTGCCTGTGCCATGATTGATGATTGATTGATGGTTGAACAAAAAGGATCATGATTTCTAGCTGTATGATACGCTTGAGATTCCTGCTTATAATCTGGGTCAAAAATCCCAGGATATGAAGATCAAACATAATATAATTTCTGCAAATTGCTTTAATTTGGCGAATATTCCTAATTGGCAATTCTGCATAACAATTTAAGTATTTTTCACAAAACTGTCACTAATATCTCCAAGGTGGTTAAAACGGCAAATTAAAAGGCGATAAATCTTATTTACAACACATGCACATGTACAGGTTTCTATCATATGATATTCTGATATGAATATGATGACCCAATCGTCAAAACCTTGGCAGACAAACTTTGCCAGCAAAGAGTTCTGCAATAACTGTAAACCAGAGTCCAAGCACAAAAAATATGTATGAGATTCCAACTTGAAAGCTACTGGGTAACTGGTATGGTTCGCCACCTATCTGGTCCATATTAAACCCAATTGGGAAGATCACTGCTGCATTGCAGAACATGATTACTGAAACATAAAGACATTTTCTTTTAACTGAAATAATTTCATAAAGTATAAATTTTTTACCAACACCTGAAATTATTCAATACTTATAGAAATATTCAACTTTTGAATACAAGTGTACAATCAATTGTTAAATTGATATTGATGTTTTTTTTAATTACTGACAATAATTGCAAATTACTAATAATTTTAGTTATTTACTTATTTGAGAATAAAAATATTACAATTCTTCAGTTTTTTTAATTTGAATTAAAATATAAAAACAAAATATTTTAGTTTTACAATATTATTCCAACTGGAGGTAATGATGACATGCTCTCAATCATCCTTATCACACCGGAATGGCCTGACTACGGTAAAGGCAGATACCATTGTCACAAAAGGTGGACATAAAAACCGTCGCTTCAACTGTTTAATCACTTTGTCCTCGTTTCATAGGATTTTATCGTTGCTAATCCAGTGCATGCATTAAGCTCTTGTGATGATGTATCATATGAAATCCCATTTTTGATCAAATTGGGTCGTGAATCGCCACAATATAGCGTCTTCGATATCGTTAATGACAACGGAATCTGAATTTGGAAAGATAACAGCATATGGTAATTACAGTGTCCGTTGTCCCGTATCTCATTTTGATCGGTTAAATTAAAGACTTTATTTCAATGGTAGAACATTAGTAACTGTACAATGAGTATTAAGACACTTTGATTGATTGTTGTTCCAAAGGAATTTAGTCTAGGTGTTCTATTAAACATACAGTTCATGAAAATCTAATTGAAGCGAAGCGACGGTTATGTACTGTTGTCAGGCTATTCCGGAGTGATCATGCATTTGAGCCTTTATTATTCACTTGCTATTTGGAATCAAATACAGTAAAACCTGTGTAGTGCAATACTTAAAGAAGTGGAACACCCCTGTAAGTGGAATACTTGTTTGGAGTCCCCAGACCAACTGATTTAATGTTAAACACCGATTGCTCATGTTATCCACACCAAGTATTTTTGCAGGCTCAGTATGCATTGGGTGCAATTCTTAAATAAACTTACTTCCAACAAACCCGATCCACCTGGCATATTTAATGAGGTTGTATTTGAAGTACGAAGCTGCAAGGAGTATCACTGTGATCGTGACACATATTATTCCAAACACGACACATATAAATGTAAGTACCCACTCAGATCTAATTTGGTCAGGTGTAAAACACTTAGCTGAACGTCCATAGATTGTCAAACATGTCTTTAATAACCCAATTGATGTCTCACCTGAATAAGAAATAAATATTCAATGTCAGGTACAAGTAGGTTATATAAACAATAGGAGAGTTTATCATTCAAGTACAATAAATATTTGCATGCACATTGAACATAAATATAGGGTGATCCCAAAACTGGGCTGGCCAAAAAAGATAATTGAAATATCTGTTCAAATATATGTAAAATAAACAGCCAAGTTCATCAAATATAATATTTGTATTATTGGGGCAGCAAGAATAACCAGGAGTAGAGTACATGTAGCATAGGGGTAGCCAGGGGGTTGTGCAATGGGTGCACCCCCCCCCCCCATAACCAATAAAAAGAACCATGAGAAGAAAAGAAGCTTGTAACATCAATTTTTCTAAAATTCAAAACAAATCTTTATCAAGTGAAAATCAAAATGTTTTGGGCGATCACAACCCCCTGATTGAAAGCTGACTACGTCCCTATGTAAAGTAGCAGGGGAGACATATCCCCTGATGTGTCAAAATGTGTATTACAGCCTTACATGTATAGTGTTTCATTCGCAATTTTAAAAAATATATAAATGCTGAAACTTTCTAAATTACAAGAGGCCAAAGGATAACTGCACATAAAACTAATTTGTCAGATTCATAATTCTGTAAACAACTTTGAATCTAAAAAACAATCAATCAAAGGACCACATGATAGCCAAACTACATGTAAAACAAACCAAAATATACAAAAGTAAGGCCTTGAGCATGTGTTTCTATTATGTTTTTATTTTTCCTATACTTTAGCAATGTGTTCATTTGATTACTTTTTTAGATTCAAAGTTGTTTATGGAATTATGAATCTGACTGTAGGGTTGGCATGGAACAGAATCATCCGATCCTTCTGATATTACCTTCAGAAACAGACTTTTGTAACTGCCTTTACAATCATGTTTTGATATTTGTTATGTTAATTGCTTTTTGTAGAATCTGAAGAACACTTGAAAACTCGTATAGCGAACTGGAATTTAACCAAATCTGTTCTGTTCCGATTCTATTCCAGTACCAGGTCCGTAGCCAGGATTTACCTGGGGGAGCGGTTTTACTAAGGGTTAGCTTTTACTAGGGGGGAAAGCTATTAGACAGAGTTGGCGAAAAATCATGTGAAAAGTGCTCAGAATGTCGAAAACTGCATGATTTTGAAAGAATTTCTAGCCTGAATTTCGGGCCTGAGTCTGTGCCAGCCCGACTTAGAAGTTGAAGAATGACATCTTTCTACTCAATATGTGAATAAGGTGAAGGTTCACTTACCACCTATATCAGATACAATCCAGTTTGGCATACAGAGGCTGGCAATTGCAAATAAATCAGCAGCCAAAAACAAAGCTCCAGAAATTACACTCAATTTATCTATGGACGGCATAGTACATATTAGACTTTTGATCAACTTCAACGATACTACAAATTGAACTCTAGATGTAGTTTTTTAATTCGACGTGATTTCATTTTTTAAACTGCTATGAGTGTGCTTTAAAACATTATACAAAATATTTTGTCAAAATATTTTGTCACTATTTATTCTCTAATAGATGGCGCTGCAAAATCTCCAATGAAGAGCTCATGACGCACCTCAAAAAGTTTTTAGGGATTTTGAACAATTTTCAAACTTGTGCAATATTTTACAATTTGTAATGATAACCAGTTTAGAACACTCTTTAATATGTCATCAAGAGCACTAAGAAAACTTCAGAGAAGCAATGATGTAGTTGTTCCTGAACTGCATGATCTTGAGTTGAGTGAAGAAGAAGAAATTGTTCCAGTGAGAAAATCTAAAAAGAAGAAAACGTCAGCTGTGAATCCATTCGCTCTGGTAACAATATATTTTAGGCTTTTCACTTTATATTTATGTTGAAATGTCAAATACATTCACATTGTGAACAAGACCATTATTGTCGGCTCATCCACGGCATCCACCTTTTCTGGCATCAACCATGAAAAAATTTTCCCGGAAAATACCAATCGGCTGTCTCTAAAATCTTACTCGAGTCTCTAGCTTACAGCTAGACGAAACTTCATTGATTTCGTATGTAATGGCTATACGCACCTACACGCACCTAGAACTCATTTTTAATAAATTTTATAAATATTTTTAAGAATATTAATCATATTTAGGATGAAGCGTTGCTTGTCTGGATTTAGATATTTCAAAATTTCATTTCGGAGTTTGACACATGGTGAAATTTTCTCGCTGTAGCTAAAAATGGCTTCCGGTTCTGGACGTGAATAACATTTGAAATTATTCTCGCTTAAAGAAATCAAATATAACAATAGATTCAGACGGGGATGTGAGCTGATGTTCTTCAAATCTATACATAAAGGTATATTTCATATTATTATGCCATATTTACTGTGCGTGTGACACAATGATTTACAATATTTATAATACTAAGGCAGCTCAATCTTCCTCCTCAAAGCCGGAATATAGAGAAGGCTTTGGACCGAAGTAACTAAAATCAGTTTCAACATGAATATCCATGCGTATCACTTGTCTCGTCATCTCAATCCGAATCCCATATCTGTCATTTCAGTACTCATACATGTACCTGGCTGTCATCTCAGGTTTATTAAAATGCCATCCAGTTCCTGCAAGTAAGAGTTGCATTGGTGAAGTAATGTTCTCGGGATGTATTTTATTGAGCGTTTTCATTCGAACTATTGTTCCCCCAGAAAATTTGTTTTGCCCTTATATTATCAATCCATTCATGCATCTTTTTGTTGTTTGTCAGAAATTGTCTCTCTGTCCATCAGTCTACCTATCTACCTTTTGTTATCAACCAATTGTTTATGTCTCTGTCCATCAGTCTGCCTATCCACCTTTTGTTATCACCTTGTTTATGTCTCTGTCCATAAGTCCTACTTATCTGTACATACATGTAAATAAAGTCAACATTTAGGTCCATTAGTTTTAATTTTTCAAAATTCCACAACTGATCTTTGTATATGTGCAGAATATATGTTTTAAATGTGCTGATTGTGGTGAAGCTAATATTCTCATTCATTATCATAGCTTATCATTGTCTTTACTACATGTATCATTTACACATCTTGATCTCACTGACATAATCATATACCATATAATAATGAACATGTTTTTTTTCAGTTAAAAGATGATGAGGAACAAGATGGCGAAGAAGAAGAGGTTAACATTACAAATGGAGAACAGAATGAACATGCCCTGAATGATGATACAAAACCTATTCAAAATGACAGTGCAAAATCAAGAAAAAAGAAGAAGAAAAAGAAACGTAATAAAGAAAAGAATGACACTGCTGTTTCAAGCAAGGTACTGAACGCTACATATTTATTACTGAGTGACTGTGACATGTAATGAGCTTCTATTATCAATGTCCATCCTTAAATCTTACACTCAAAATAAGAAAGTCCTAAATTGTTGCACTAAAAAACACTAAATTCTAAGTTTAAAAAAAAGTTAAACGTTTCAATGTAAATTGCAATTCTTAAGATCGTTACTTAAAAAACTCCTCCCCCAAAAAGCCTGTGACCATCCGAGTGTGATATTTATCAATCTGTGTCTAGTATTTCTTTAATAAACTTTTTTTTATATCACCACCACAAGTGGCCACACATTTGTGGATGGTGCCTGGCGTTTGTCGAGGTCTGTTACAAATGCTAGGTGGTAACATTTTGTATGTTAATGCCTTGTTTTAACATTTAACTAGCAGCAGGAGGATGTGATTGATGAGGTTGAAGCCAGTGTAAGAGAGGTGAATGCAATACTTGGTGAACTGCCCCCTGGTACCACTGCCTCTGACCTGGTGTTTAACAGTGATAGCACAACAACCATGGACATGAGGGCACTGCTCTATGTTGAACACAAGTAATTAGTTAATTATATATTTCTTCATGTTTTTGTCTCAAGTTTAGAGATTTAATCCATTGTTACAATGTATGTGAACCTTCTAAAAGTGTTCTACTTTGAGATGTTCCCCTTACTTATGTTAATTTAATATAAAGACAATTAGTCTTCGGACTCTTTACATTAAGTCACTTCAGTCTTTGTATGGAGACTGAATGTTCCTTGTATGGAGGTGCTCCCCTAATGTAGGCTACTTTACATTAAGTCAATTGGTCATGAGACTGAATAGTGTTTCACTTATGGAGGTGTTCCCTTGAGAAGGTTTCCACTTAACTGGTTTTGGTGTACACATATTTTTGTTTTATTTGTGTTATTTGAAAACCACAAAAACAATTGTCAGAAGTCACTTTCCACTGGCACTTTTGAATGTGTAGCACTTTCATTAAACCATGATTATTTGGTACTTATTGGCTACATTTATATTTCAAGTAAGACCAACATATTTACTGTCTTCATTGAAAATCCTTAATGTGAACACTTTTAGCTTTCCATTTTTGAAATTCCTATCATTTGTTTGCATTTTAGACACCTTAATCCAGACACAGAGATGAGACGTATATTTGGCTCACGCGTTGTTCAGAACGAGGTTCAGAATAGACGTCGTGGAAGACACCGTGTTTACCACAGACAGACTTGGCTTACTCAGCCCAAGGAAAGCTGGCCTCAAATGACAAAACTTGGTAACTGGATTATAATTTATAATTGTTACCTAGATTTTAGAAGATACAATTATGTGGCCTGTTATGTATGACATTATAAATCCAGCCAGAATATGCCAGTTTTTTTCTGGCTCACCAAAATAACTTAGTTTTTTGTCAAATTTTCTTCCATTTGACAATTGTTTGTACAAATATTGATTTCCACTTGTAGGTTTTTTAAAGAATTCTCGAAAATTGTATTTTTATGTCTAAGATTTTATTTCAGGCTTGAGCATGCGGCTACTAGAAAGCAGACAAGGAGTGAACTATTTCTGTTTTGAGCACAGTTCATCATATCAGCAAATACAGTTCCAGTTCCTTGATGCTGTAGAGTCTTTTAACCCTGAAAATATTGTGGTAAGGCATTAAATTCCATAGGTTTGTAATGGGCCCCATATATGAGATGATTTTTTGGCATGTATTTTGTGAAATAAATTGAAATTGAAAATATCCAAGCAGTCGATTAAACTTCCTACACATATTGTGGTCAGAGGGAGGGATTGCCACAATTGGACTTGAGAGAATCATATCAGTATTAAAAGTATAAGGCCAGTTCTTATCGTTTTAATCAATGTAAATCTTTGGCTTTTCAGGTTCCAGAGATATCATTTTACATCTTAAACCTGCACAGCAAGGTCAATTTTGCCAATTTCTCTCTTAATACACCTGATTAATCATTAGAGAGAAGTATAATAACTATGTAACACATCTCATTGTACAACTGAGGTCGATATTATAGCGATAAAGATCTTGTTTCTCCTTGCTGAAATGAAAGCAAGAGTGCATCACCAAAAATTTATATCTTGTCATGTCACCTTACCTATTTACACTATTCTACAGCTGGATGACTCTAACTGCAGTTACCTTCATTCAAGATGGATGCGGAAACTCTTTCAGATTTTAGCTAAACTAAGTTGAATCTAGATTCCAAATGTTTCGCCATGCAAATTAATAGAGCTACGATGGTAAATAACCACAAATAAATGCTCAAACAACCGCGATATTGGAGAATTTTAACGAAAATGGCTTCACTTATAGAACTTTAGAAGGACTCTAATTGAAGTTGATGATGACGTAGATCATCATTACGAGCTTGCTGTGCAGCAAGGTCAAAATAGTGCATATCATCCATTTCTTATGTAACCACTGTAAGGCATGACATAAAGTATTATTATATTCTCCTAATTTTGTGGACTGTGTTTGGTGTTTAGCAATCAGTGGCAGTAGCACTTGGCATCTGTAACAAATGGCATGTGTTGACATTTTGCCTGTTAATGCCTTGTTCTTATATTGGGGTTAACTTTAAAGTATTTAATTGCAGGCAGTACTTAATTTACATCCCTACCACATAGATGCTCTTATACAACTAAGTGAGGTTTGCAAGATGAGTGATGACACTGCTATGGCAACAGAGCTTATAGGTAATTATTGCTATGGCAACAGGACTTATTTCATACACGTTTTACTTTTCTTGAAGAGCTTGTATTACTTATAGCAGAACTTATGGGCTTGTAATGCTATGGCATCATTAGAAAGATGCTACCTTATTGGCAATACATGTAGGCAAAACGTTTGTGATATTCAGATTTAATTCTCTAATTTGCATGATAATTGTACACAGACTGTAGAGGTCTTTTACTGAAAGTTGCAAAGAAAAAGCATGTTATAGGATATTCAGTAATGATAAAAAGGCTGTATTTTCTCTTGTTTAGTTATATGTATATCTGTTACTCACTTTTCTACTATATATTTTTTATGTTCTGTACTGTGAAAGCGTCACTGTCAGATACTGAGATTATCAAAAAGTATGATCAGATCTAAGCAGATGTAATAGCAATACTGTATTATTCTAGAGAGGAGTTTGTACTCGTTTGAGTGTAACTTCCACACGCTGTTTAGTCTTACTCAGGGCACAGCAAGACTGGATTACAGAAGACCTGAGAATAGGTACAGTAAGCTTCCTTGCATGATAATATTCATTACATTCAATCTGTTGACAAAATATCACTATTTCTTGAATTTGTAATGTAAACTTCACCTTTGTATAATGATTGTAACCCCTTGAACTAATTAATTGTTTTTTATTGTTTCACTTGTCAGACAATAAAAATCCACTGTTGGTTCATTTGAACATCTAAATTCTAGCAGAATGATGTTATTAACTGTATCGTAATTTTGTTTTTTCAGAGCATTCTTTGTTGCACTGTTTAGACATCTTGTTTTTGTGGGACAGAAAGGTTGCTATAGAACGGCTCTAGAATTTGGAAAACTTATTCTTAGGTTAGTGCACATAGCGTTAGGTACTTTTTTTATTGTAAATGGATATCCATGTATCAGCATTCGGCATATCTCACTCAGGAATAATAATCAATGTAGCATTTAACCCTATTGCAGGCTAGATGTACACTAATAATTGAAAGTCTGCAATGAAATTTTTTAAAACAATGGACCATTGCAAAGTTTGTTAAAAAATTCTTAAGGTCTATATAATGTTATGTCAGAAAATAGAATGGTGTAAAATAGGTCACATTGACCTTGGTCGGTCACTCGTTATTGAGTTTTTTGCGCATTGAAGGAGAAATCATTACTGCAATATGTGAGGCCATACTTGAAATCATCTATTAGTACCATTGTGTCATCTTTTATATCAAAAAAGTACTATATTGTTGTTGTCATTACTTTTAGGGTGAATATTAATGGTTTAGATACTATTTGGAAGTTTCCCTTGTAATTTTGTAACATAATATTGTGTATTTTATTTTTCAGTTTTGATCCTGATAATGATCCTCTATGTGTACTCCTGATGATTGATTTCTACGCCCTAAGATCAGAACAATACAACTTTATCATACGCATGTACAGAGAATGGGAGGTAACATACAGTATTACAGCAATACTACTTTAATTTTGTCATGGTGATATGATTTGATTGAACCACACCTGTCCAGTTAAAACCAACATATATTCTCTTAAGAGCGTCATGTTGTATTGAATGTCATGTATGTTTTTTAAAATGGTAATAAATATCTGAATCTGAACAATAAAGTTGAAGTATTCCTTCTAATATCCCACTGCCATGGACATGTTCAACCTCAATTTTGAAATTTACAGCATTAAAGCCTCACTATGCGTATCTTCAACATTTTGTGTATAAAGACTTACTCTTGAACTTCATAGTATTTCCAATGGATTGATAAGTACTTTAGCTTTCATTAGACATCAAAAAAAGTTTGTCAATGAAAGATGGCGAAGTTGTTTGAAGTACATGATTCATTAATTTTTATAGATGTGTCGCCATCTTTTAAATTAAGAGTTATTTAAAAACATGCCCTTTGTCAAAAGTGTGCATGCACTACCAAAGATCTCTGAACTTCAAATGCTGTTTTTTTCTAGGTTCAATATTAATGCAAATCAAGCTTTGTGTCATATTTGATTGAGTGTATAAATAACATGTTCCAATGGTTATTTTATCTTTTGTCCTTCTAAATTAAGCATAGTGGGCCTTTAAATATTTTTCAAAATTTTATATACAGTATTAATTTTTTATATCTGATTCCAGGCTCACAGAAACCTTACTCAGCTGCCAAACTTTGCATTTTCAATCCCACTAGCAATGTTTCACAATTTACAAACAAGTGATGATGATGTCACAACAGAGGCTGATGAAATGGTAAGCAACTTACCCTTCACAAGAAGTGGACAGTACCTTCACTCTTCAGATTTGAGATAATGCTATGATTAAGCCTTTAACCAATCAGAATATTGAGTCAGAAATGTATGATATTACATTGTTGTCACTCTGATAAACTGGTTCAGACATCCATCTGTTTACAACATTTGGCATAACTAAAGTCACTGTAGAATTGTAACATCAAATATTATGTTGAAATCAGGATTTTGCATTTACATGCCTATCTTGTCTATTTAATCATTTTCATTCAAATACCACTAAAGATACTATATGTAATGCTATTTTGGAATTGATTATAGAATTGATTGCTACATCCCCTATATGAAAATATTATTGAAATCCATGCTTTATCCAAAAGTACATGTGTTTGTAAAATAAAAAAGTGAGCATTTATTGTGCGTAAAACATATACAACTACTGTTACTACTAATAATTTAAAACTATAAAATCTCTTGTATTCTTTTCAGCTTCAAAATGCTTTACTAATGTTCCCTGGAATGTTGCTCCCTCTATTGGACAAATGCAGCATTAAACCCGATCCTGATGTTGAGAAACATAAATTCTTCAGTACAGCTTCACAAAACAGGTAAGATTATTGTTACATTCTTGGGTGTTGTTAACATTGTATAAATGGGCAGCTGTAATATCAATAGCACTTGCACCCATACATTCACCCATACTGAATCAAGTGAAATAAATAATTGTTTTTTTCCTCAAAATCATTTCATTGAAGGATGTGATTTCCTTCCCCATTATGCACCTAGTGCGGGTATGAATGGGGAATTTGACAAAAAAAATTGGCCTGTCTACTGTAATTCCTGACCCTGGGGCTAAATATATGTGTCAGTTTCTCCACCCTGGGAGCAGTAAATCTGGTCAAACATTCCCAACCCCCGGGTCCTTCCCCCGAATCCACTCTTTTTAAACATCAGATTTCCTTGTTAGCAGGCTAATGCTCATGATTGATGAGGCACATGTGCAGTACTTTGTACTAACAAGCCTGGAATTTATATGGGGATTTCTATCCAACTTTCTTAAAACACAATACTGAAACTTCGCATCGATAAACCAGGGCAAACTTTTGAACACTAGTGTTGATATAAGATCTGCTGATTGAATCATTCACTTACATGAGTAATAGTGATAGTACTTATGTTTTGAATAATATTTTTAGGATCATAATTTTTCAATCTGTATAAATTGAGGAAACCTTATTGGTTCAATTCATTTATTCAATTCATTTATTCATCTCTTATTAGATTTTCTGTTCAGTTCTTGTTAATATAGATGGCAGAATGTTTCTTGATCTTAGTTTTTATTATGTCACCCCCATAAGTGGTGACATTTTTGTGAATGGTGTTCAGCATCCAGTGGTCGGCATTTAGAGTTCGGTGTCTTTAACAAATGTCAGGTGGTTACATTTGGCATGTCTGCCTTGTAATTAAAGAATTATTAGTGTATAGTGTTCTCAATTTTATAAATGCATCTCTTGCATGCAAATAATTAGTCTCAACTTTATAAGTACATCTCTTGCATGCAAACAATTAGCCTATTGACCCACTAATTTGTTTTTACCAATATTATAGTACTAAATTCTGTTATTTCTATTTCATCGATTAATATCAACAACATAATAATATTTGACAAGTCATATTATTGGAATTCTTTAAATATGCAGGTATAATCATTCCTTGCTGAGAATGCTTTAATAATACACCTGAACTATTATTCTGTTGCAAATCCAATATTTGATGCACTGTTGTTAGGGTATACAGAACTTACTCGATAGGGTTTGTCTGTGAAACATTGTGGTTCTTGGGGCCTCTGGCATTATTGAAGTCAATACAATAGATTCATCAGGATCGAAAATAGTTCATATTTTAAAGTATTAATTGTGAGGTGTTCTGGTTCTACCAAACATGTATATTGTGCATTAACTTTATTATAGTAATCTGATCTCATTCATGTTAATTTTACTTACAGTGTACTGTATATCCAGCTAGAAGTGGAGATATGTAAATATGGTGTAATATTGAACTATCCATCTGTCATTATTAAATATTTATCAGTATACTGTTTGCTTTAAACTGTGGACTGATTGCCAGAAAATTGCTTACAGTATTTGTAACAGATACATTTTGCTTTATGATTTTGTGTCATAAAGATTGTAAACTGCTGGAAGCATTATTTCAAAACTTATTCCAGTGTTTCCTCTATAGCCTCATTTTATTTTCGGAAGAAAGAATTGAGATACCAGAGCAGATGTTGAAGTTTTCGAAGGCAGAATGTGCATTTTCATCATATTAGAATTGAAAAAGAGGACATCCTGTTACAAGAGATAACATTAATAGAAATATCCTGAAATCAAGCAGAACTATTTTTAGTTTACTTTTCAGAAAAAATCTTGTAAAAGTATCATACTACAGGGTGGTCCAAAAAAAATTGGAACATTTGATAATTGAACGCAAAACCTTTATTTTTCTTCTAAAATGCACCGAACTTTATCTGAGCATAGTTCAGTCACTTATTTATCTTATGTAAAGTTTATGGGTGCAAACAACAAAGTTAATGCATTAAACTAGACAATTTTTGATATGACCCCTAAACTCCTGAATTACCAGTTGAAGCCTGGGACTCAGTTTTGAAATGATTCATTCACTTTGCTGTTCATTTGATTTTGTCGAAGCCATCTTGATTAAAAAATTCAGCTTGAACAAACTACTTATATGTTTGCCTTGGAAGATCAAATATGTGAACACATCCAACATTTTTTACCCAAATTGATGGGTATCAAGCATGTTTTGATGGCTATTGTTAGGTGTATTACTGATTGAATATTCTCAAGAAAGAGGCCATGGCAGTCTGCTTTGACTGGTAAATGAGCCCCCTCTCCCTTTCTTGTTCTAATATGGATAATATTCATTGAATACATCAATATATGTATATCAATATCATAAAGGAGTTTCCCAGAATACAAATGATATATTATATGTACTTAGAGGTGGTTTTGAATAAAGCCTTGTAAATAACTGGTCAGTTTCCCCTTTACTGAAAGTGGAAACAATGATTTTGTCACTTTAGTAGCTGTATGGGTTATGCAATCACTCACCTCTTACATGTTCTTTCTTTCCTACTCTTAAATAAAATAATTTGGGGTATTCTTAAGTTAACAATAACACAATAGTTTTCTAGTAAACCATAGATGTTAATACCTCTTGTCAACTAAATATGATTTTATAAAATGTGTATAGCAATCAACATGTTCATTAAAGCGTTGAAATAAAGAAAACTTGAAAAAGTAGTGGCGAAATTGACAAGTGTATATTTGAGAAAAGGGGGTCATATCAAACATTGACTAGTTTAATGCGTTAACTTTGTGGTTTGCACATATAAACTTAACATTACAGAGATAAGTGACTGAACTATGCTCAGTAGAATTTTGGTACATTTCAGACGAAAAATAAAGGTTTTGTGGTAAATTAACAAATGTTCCAATTTTTTTTGGACCACCCTGTATATATCATATCATATGTCATAATGACACTTTTCAAAAACTCTCAACATATCAGAATCCCTCCATTTGATAAATCAGTTAGCAAAAATATTCTACACCCAAATTCAATAGAGATATGAAGAGATTATGAATGAAATGAGTGATTATACATGTTCCTATTGAAGACAAGGGGATCAATACAATGTACTATGCCTTTATCATCATGAATTTCAGCCTCCTTACTTATAAATACCTGTTCCCTGTTGCTATTGAGTTTTACAAATAGAAACCCTTTATTATTAATAAGTGATTCAATATAGGAAATAGGGAGCATTGATTTTTTACTTAACATTATACCCCTTCTTCCTCGTTCTGGATTGTGCCTGGTTTCCAATAGTTACTCTTCCTTCTGGGACTTAATTTCCATTAAAGTATCCTCTTTCGGTGTAACAATGTATAATAGGTTTATGGATTAAATGTTCATAGTGTACAGGGGTTTCATTAGCAGCAGGCAACAGGCGATTTTCACCGGTTGTGTTCACAAAATTGCCTCTTGTTTTTTGAGACTTTTCAACTTTTTCATGTAAAATTTATGATTTCCATTAATTTTGCCTGTTGTTTTCATTGTATTTTGCCTGTTGTGAGAAATTCTAGTGAAACCTCTGTGTGTATATGACAGTTACAAACATTTGCTATGAAAGTGGTCATCTCAAGATATAACTCAAAAGACTCAATTGATTTATTTCCATACTGCTGATTATATAAGCTTTCCAATGTTCTATATTTATCTCACTATGAATAAATGGTGACTTATTGTAAATGCCCCCATTTTTATGAAAGTGATTCACACATTTGTAACCATTTACATGTGGTGATATACTGTACTGATATTGCCTTGTTTATTCATAACATACAGTATCTAGGAAGATAAACTGTCCCATTTAACTGACTTTTGAACAATAAGCTACTGACCCATACAAGAAAAACTAAACATGCATGCAATGATGTACGCTTTGAATCTTATTCCAGTAATATTACTTAACACTGGAAGACAGACCTAGAGACCCAATCTAAGAAAAAGCCCTGATGTTTTCATTTCTTTATTGTCATCCTCCGAACGCAGGGCTCCAGAAATCATCCACTACGTTCCTTCTTCTCGTTACATGTTCTAGAGGCTTTTGTTCGGAGGCCTGTGTTAGGAGGATGCGTTATTGTGCACTGAAGCAAAATCATGCAAGCACAGTCTTTTGCAGGAGTTACCCTCATAATTTGCATAGAAATTACAATAAATACAACTTTGAAAATACAAAATAAACTTCAAAACTTCAAAATAACTTTAACTGGAAATCAGACCTTCGTACTTGAGGTGCATTTTTAACCACTTAGCTAATCCAATTGACTAAGTGTTGGAATTGTGAATTTGTGACATTAAGACATGTCATAAATCATAAAAATGTCAGAGCTTATGACAAGATTAATTTAATGGCTTTGTCATTAAGGTTGAGGTCAAATGATTTTTAATTTATAATCGTAGCAATAAGTGTACACATAAGAGGGGGAATACAAAATAACTGTCACTTATTGACAATCATAATTAACATTAAAAAAGATTTCTCAAGTTTTATTCTAATTTAAAAATCTGAATCTTGAGTTTGTGGTGACACATTTTTTCTAAAAGTGAACCATTTTAGTTTATCGTCAAATTTGGAATCTGAATCTTGAATCTCTGAATCTTGTTTTTGAAATGACAAATTATGATTTGGTACAGGACTTACTTTTGGCAATCGAGCCATATATTCAATTCTATTTTTCAAAACAGAATAAACTTTATTGGTAACCAACTGATTCGATCAATGAAACAATTGTTATTAATTGCATGTTGTTGCATTGTTGCCATAGTGATATTGTGGTAAAGTATTTCAGTATTGAATGACATATGAAATGTCAGTTGAGTGAGTATCTATTTAAGCCTCCATAGTAATTATTAGAATTTTGCCTTTCTCTGTTTGTAGTCTTTTCACTTTTTTTCCAATTTACACTGTGCACGTACAGTATAGGGTACACGCACAGTGCTCACACCATATATATTTCATTGACCCAGGATTGAATAAAATACTTGAAAAACTTCCCTCATCCAAATGCATGGGAATCTCCATGGGAAATAAGCAAAATTAAGGATACCCATTGGATGATTAATATTTATTGATTTACCACCACCAAAGCATTGTTAATTGAATTGATTGCAATTATCTTTTAGTTTAGCTTGTTATGTCACATTATTATTACATTGGGAGTTCTCTTAAAGCCACACATAGACATTTTACCTATATTTTAAAACCCCCAAAAAAGTAATAAATATGACACTGTGCTATAAAAAATGAGATAGAGAAAATATTGTGGCTCAGAAATAAAGAAAACATGATCGCCACGGCCGGGATTCGAACCTGCAAAATCAAGATTGCAAGACTGATTCCCTAACCATTCTGCCACTGCCTCAACCAAGGAGGATTGGCTCCCAGAGTGCACCACCGATATTCTGTCCCATATATGGGTATGTCGTAATACAAAATTCGAATTCAAACAGCCGCCATTTTGTTCACTTCAACATTTAAATCGTGAATTTTGGTCTTATTTCCAAACGAAAAATTCCAAAACTCACAAGAAATGATCGAGATATTGGTTCGAATCTTTTGAACTGTTTATTTTGAATTTATAGTCGGTTTTAATTTCAGAAAATAACGACATTTTTCATTGTTGGAAAATATCGAGTTTCGATCCTGGGAGCCAATCCTCCTTGGCCTCAACTGAACTTTCAAGATGCATTTTTAGTATTATTCTTAATTTCAGAAAAATGTTTTTCCTCTACACCACAATTATTAAATAGTAGTAAATAATCATGGTAATAATATTACAATACATATCTGAGTAAATATTCTAAGCCAAATTCAGAATCAGTGCTGTTAATCCAGTTTTTATTTTGAGAATCTACTTCCTGTCATGACTGTCAAAAAAACATGGCTTCCAAAACAAAATTCTTGCTTCCAATATTTTCAAAATGATATATATTCATGGATCAGCTAATTTTGGAACCTGAAGCCATCCTAATAGAAAGGTAAGACTATTTTCTTGAAAAGTATTTCTTGAAATCCCCAATTTCGGCCTCTGAAGTGTAAGAAAGTCACTTTAATTGATTTTTTTTTGTATATTATTATCTCATTTTCTGTTACCCATTTATTATTGATTTGTTTTTTACTCAATTTTGTAAGGTTGCTTATCTTTACATTCACACAAACTTGTTTTCAATGGCAAAACATGCTATTTTATTTTCTGGATTCTTGAAAATTCAGAATAGTGTTCATCATAGCAAGTGTTTTCAAAGTTTCTTTTTTCGTAGTGCATTGGAGATAATAATTTTGTTTGCGGGAGAAAGATTTTAGAGTTGTTGAGATACAGGTTACTGCATTGAAATTTTATTCAGAATTTTTCGAAACATACAATAATATAATCATATCAGAATTTGAGTTTTGAAGAAACGTTGACATTATGAAGAATTTGGAATTTGCACAGTACAGACATTCAAATATTTACCCATTTGATTCAACAAAAAGTAGACTGAAAAGTTAGAGAGTATATTTTAAAAGATTTTGAAATCTCAATACTGAGAGGCTAGTATGTCAGTGGTAACCAACAAACAAGGTATTTTGTAAATAGAATCCTTGACATAGTTTACTTAAACTATTATTTCAACTACTTCATTAAAGACCCCATATTAGTTTAAACCAATTTGGCTTAAATTGTAGTCTCAACCAATATTACCAAAATGTGATATGTGAACCTTTTTTTATTTCAAAATGTGTTTTTAAGGATAGCTTGAAAAAGAGGACATTTAAATCTACAAGATGTAAAAATATCACAATTGTCCGAAGTAGGGGTAATGAGCAGTAGAGCGATTCAATAAAATACAAGTCTCGATTGGGAGAAAGGAGTTCATTAGTGTACTGCGCTAATAATTTTTTATGAAAAATCTAGAAATATCACCTTAATTGGCTGTTCAGATTGACTATTCAAAAGAAAAAATTCATTTCAAAATTAAGTTCTCATAGAAACCATTGGTACAGTAATATTTATAACAAAATATATACTTCCTTTAATCAACCTATTTAGACAATCAACATTGGTTTATATTTGAAGTTAAGCATATTTAGAAAAGATTGACATAGAAAAAGAATTCAATTTTTCAAAATGACAAATAGTAAATGAATGATAAAAACATATTTTCGAACTGAACATGGGGCCTTGAAACAAAGAGCTACAAAGACTCTATGATAAAATGTCTTCTTACCAAAACTGACAATTGGAGATTATTAGAATCAGCCTCCAGTCAGTATCGTCTCATTGACGCTGCATTGACTGCGGCCTAGAATTCAAAATAATTTGGTCGGGTTGGATTTTCCTTCTCTACCCAATAAAAGTTGTTTGAATTTCCCTTTAGTAGAGTTGAAACAGCTGCACTGCTAATTCATTAAACCATTTATGGATTATGGTATAATGGCACTAATAAAATACCCCGGTAAAATATATATAGTAATTGTGTACATATGATTGATTTGCCTTATCCAAAAAGTGCACTTTTTTACAGTGTGTTTTATATTATATATTAGTAGTACTAAATGAATACTTCACTCAGAATACCTGTTGATTTTTAAATATTCTCTTGAGATTGGATAAAAAATACAGCTTTAACTGCATGAATTTGCAGATTTAGTGTACAAGTACAATTAAAATGTGAAAAGTGTTTGTGAAGGGACATTTCTTAATTTCAAGTCATATTAATAGGTCTTGGTCAGCATACAGTGTGGCTATCACATTTGTGTGTATATTTATCATTTCGTTTTGGATAGGACCAGATTTATTTAAAACATTTTTGAGAACACATTGTCATTGTGGCTGATAATTGTTTAGCTGATATAGATATATCTGCAGGAATAAATAGAAATAATAAATTGTTCTTTCACGTATAAAATAACAAAACTTTTTTTAAAGAAATTTTTAAAGGTAACTGACACTTACATACTTTGCAAGTGCATTGCCATTATTCTACCCAGTTCTTGCAAAGCACATTGCAAAATCAAAGCACCCAATTGGTTGAGGCAGGTCACATGATAGGCAATCAGTGCCCTTCTATAATCCTCCTCAGGAATCAATAATATAAAAAATATTCTTTAAACAATAATTGAGAGCCACACTCGTAGGTGACCTCGCTTAACATTATACATATTCCGTCCTAACTTTATCCATTTGTTTTAACAATTATTGAGAAAAAAAGAACAAAACAGTTGATGGTTGTAGAATTAAATCAAGTTAGTTTAATGTAATCCATAGAGTAAAGATTTGGGGTTTTTGGTAATTCTCATTTTTAATTGTATTGCATGCTATTTTATTCTAAGGATCAATTATATTAACTTTGAAAGGTTTCCAAGAGCAACCAACACTATTGACTTCTGTTTGATGGCAACGCATAAAACACATTTAAGAGAAGCATCTTGCTGTTTCGCTGCATTTACAGATTAGAAGAGATAGATATTGAAGCATATTTTGACGACTTTTTTCACTTCATATATATAATATATATAAATAAAATGGTAAGTTATTTTTATTATTTATTTACTCATTTATTAATCTTGTATAATTAAAAGTATTTTAAGTTGATTTTATAATTGATATTGGGGATGTCATTGACAGAGACTTTCAAAATGTTACAATTGTTCTCTTACGATTGAGTCATTGTATCCATGGTAACAACAATTGATTTAGGAGTTCTCACATTTATGAAATTTTTAGAAATATTTCAGAATATATCATATAATTAACATGTATAATATACATGCAAAATGCTTGAACAATTTGTACAGCTAGTTATCTGTTATCTATTCTTTTCAGAATTTCTACATCCTTGCTACAGTACTGTGTTTGGTCATTATTCAAGAGGGTAAGGAAAACATTGTTTTATTTCATCATTTTGATCAAAGAATTAATCAACTATCAAACTATGTTTCATTATCTTTACTTTCATTTCATATTTGAAATAATTATTCATTACTTTAAAGATAACATAATTTAAAATGAAAGGTTTATTATTAGAAAACATAGAAATAAAACAGCATCTAAAAACAATAAGAATCAACAACCATAACCTACTACAATTTAAAAAAATCATTTTACTATGAATACATCATCAACCCACATATTGTCACTGAAAACTTGTTAATCTAATACTTCAGCAAACTCTTTTTAATAATAAAATTTAACCTATAAATGTGCCTGCATAATATTGTGTTTTATATTGTATTTGTATTATATTGTGCTATATATTTTAATTGTATTTATTTATATTGTAGCCTCATGCCACTTGCTGTGTCGTGATGATGCTGACTGTGAGAGTCTTGGCTCCACCCTTCTCTGCATTAAAGGAGCCTGTGGTCATGGTGTATGTGGCTGCCAGAGAGGCTTTGCAGCACGGTTTGCAGGTTCTGAGCCAGACAGACTAATGAAGTGTGTTGAGTGTAAGTTCTGTTGAATTTTCACTAATATTGCAGAATATGACAGTTATATTGCACTATATGACAGTTATATTGCACAATATGACAGTTGCATTGCACAATATGACAGTTATATTGCACTATATGACAGTTATGTTGCACAATGTGACAGTTGCATTGCACAATATGACAATTATATTGCACTATATGACAGTTATACTGCACTATATGACAGTTATATTGCACAATATGACAGTTGCATTGCACAATATGACAGTTATATTGCACTGTATGACAGTTATGTTGCACAATATGACAGTTGCATTGCACAATATGACAGTTATATTGCACTATATGACAGTTGTATTGCACAATATGACAGGTTTACTGCGCTATATGACAGTTATATTGCACTATATGACAGTTGTGTTGCACAATATGACAGTTATATTGCACAATATGACAGTTATATTGCACAATATGACAATAATATTGCACAATATAACAATTATAATTTTCAACTTTCATTTACATGTATATTTATATTTCATTTTCTTAAATGAATTAGTTTTTATAGGGAAGAATTAGAACTTTGAATACAATCATTTCAAGAGATTGAATGGCAGTTGATAAGAAGGTAGTTGAAAACTATTTACATACTATGTATTCTGGTTCCAAAATATCAAGGGGATCCTCAATTGTTCTTTCATATGTCCAGTAGCTCCTTTTAGTTTAAATAATTATTAGTCATATTTATGAGAGGTATCTTTGTTGCAGTGAAAAAGATTGGAGAATCATGTTCAACTGATTTACTTGGAGCACAGGGGGTATGTGGAAGTATAGGATCAAAATGTGACCATACAGAACAGAAATGTATGTGCTCAACCGGTGTACCAATATTTGGAGGTGAAGCTTGCTCAAGTGAAACAAATCCAATTACCCTACCATCTTCGACTGCAGGAGATGGACCAGGAACCTGTACTGGCTCTTCAGCAGAGAATGATTATGACACATTTGGTGGAGGCTATACATATGGAAGCTATGCTATGGATGGACTGTACTCAACATGCGCTTGTCCTCAGGGCCAAAAATCTGAAATTACAAATGCATTCGGCAGTCAGTTCCTTGGGAAGAAAACGATCAACTGTGTTCAGAGTAAGTATGAAACAAGCATTTAAAATATGAGTGTCATTCAATGATGAAAGTGAAAATACCTTCATTTCATTTACATGCTTATCAGTTTATCAAACAGAAATATTTCTAGGTATTAAGTATGTTAAAAAACTTACATATTGTATTTTGAATTTATTCTTGATACTTTAAAGTATGCAATTTTTAAGTACTTTGAAATATATGTGTGTTTATCGTAAAATTTTGTCTTTATTGTTAAAATTAAACAAAATGAATGAATTAAAAACATTATTATGTGAATAATGGTACCTTGACTTATTTTCTCTTTTTATTTTGCTTAAAATTAGCTGTTTGTATTGCCCTTGTATTAACATACATAGATTAATTATTTGTTATTATTTGAAGTTGAATTCCACACAGTTGAATAATATCACCTGCCTAAATTCAAATTGCATGAATTCAACGTTGGCCAATCTGAAAGCTTTACTATGATCTTGTATTTTGTACTCTGACTAATCACAAGCATACTTTGTTTGTAGTTAAACATGGAGATTTGTGCTTAAATGATGATGACTGTCGTCTCAACTCTGGAAGTCAGATGACATGTAGCGCTAGTGGTGTATGTGAATGTGAAACATCGGCACATGTTCCTAATTATGAGAAGACTCAGTGTCGACCAGGTTTGTTAACATTTATTCCCTTGTAAATTTGGATTATTTTTAATATTTCTATGCATATGGTTTGTTAATGTTATTGATGTTAAATAGATTACAATTTGATACAATAATAAGATGTTTTAAAAATAATGTGATAGAATTTAAAATTAGTGTTCCCTCTTCACAATAGATTTTAAATAAAAGATAAAATATTTGTCTATGCGTTGCAATCCAAAATGTATCTCCATCAAAATCTTTTGATGTGCATAGCTGTATATTGACAATGCTATGTTTTAAAAACATGAAGTCTTTTTGGATCAAAATTGTATCTCCACCAAAATCTTTTTGAGGTGGAGAGTTATATATTGTCAATGTAGTGCAAACATGAAGTCGTTTTTGGCAAGAAAGGAATTTGATAATATTTAATGTTATATTGCTGTCTTTAGTTCAATACCAGATTTCAGGTAATTATAAATCAGTAATGTTAATGAAGTACATAAATAGGTCTTGTTTATTATTGTATCTCTCCTATTTAATTACAGGATTGTCTTTTAATGCTAACTGTGATGTTGGTGGTTCACATTGCAACGGAGATGAAGGTCTTATGTGTATGTATGGCACTGATTACTGTGACACTGACCCAGATACAACTGTTACTCGGAAATGCCTTTGTGGGCCACAGCACACAACATCAGGCTCAACTTGCAACCCAAGTAAGTAAATATTATCTCTTGAGGCTATACATATTCTGTTATTATTCTTTCATTGAAATTCTGTTAATTTAGGTTTTCTTTTATTCTTTCATTTGAATGTTTGTGGCATGGAACTCTTAACCTCTTGAATCCCTGGCTCTAAAATCGTCTGAAACCAGAGAATTTTTCATTTTGGCCTCCTTTTGACATTTTACTACATACACCTACACAACTTTAGATGCTCAACTTAGGAAAATCAGATGACATGGATCATTTCTACTTATTCAAAACAATTTTTGTGTAAATTGGATGAAAAATGTTCAAATAAGAGCAACTTTAGTGAAAAAATTTGTGACATATTTTCTCGTCACTCCAGGTAGTCAAGATGTTAATAGGTTTACACTGTAGAGAATGAAATGGGAATATCAAAAAAATTATGAACATCAAAAATGTAAAAAAAAATGATAGTAAGCTATAAAATTATTTTCAGTTGGAGATGGTGGTTCTTGTCAAGGGGATCTCAACTGCAAAGGTTTCAGCAAAAACGGTATCTGTGTGGACAATACATGCCAGAATAGTAAGTATGATTCTACAATCAAATCATTTATCACAATCATACCAATTATCAACAGTCGTCAAAAAAGTTATTTTATAGTTTTTACCCCTCCCCTCCCCAATCTTACAATTTTTTAAAATGTAAACTTGTCTTTCACTTTAATATTAAAAAATCAACACTTTTCGCTAAGGAAATCATCATTTACTTCCTCCCCTTCTAATGAAACTTACTTTGTTATTTCAGAAATGTTGATAATTTGACACTTATTATATTTGTTCTGACTTTGGTTGATTTTATATTGTTTGTGTGTATATGAAAAACATTTCTAATTTCAGGTGGTGCCTTTGTTACCTCCAGTGCAATATTGATCCTGGCATCATTGGTTGCTGCATATATTCAACTTTAGATGATTGCTCCAACTTCAATGAAATATAATGGGGAATACACAATAGCCATTTTCTCAAACAGTTAAATTTCCTGATTAAACCATATGAATATTGAAATCATGTAGAACGTGGAAGAACTAATAAGTAGTCATCTCTGGATATTTGACCATTCATAATTTTTTCAAACTAATGTATCACTGCAAGTACGTACAGATAAATGGACATATAGCTTTTTTGAAAAATAAAGCAGTGAAGACTTTGAACACATATATTAGTTGAAGGCACCCATTGAAATCAGGCAGCTTCAAATGTGATATTTTCTGCTGTTTGATTAGCCAGTTCACATTGTTTGATTCTCTAAGAATAATATCATATATTATTGCAATTAAAACAATGTAACTTGAAGTGGCCACACATCAACAAGGCTTTTTCAAACAACAGTGACTTGTAAATAACTGTATATTCTTGTATTTAAATGAGTGTATATTCTTGTATTTAATAATTTTATACTTTTCCACATGATTCCTGTATATATGTCAAGATTATACATGTAGTTGAACATTTCTGTGATAATAAGAATTATTTTAATCTGTTTGTAAAAAGGACATTTTATAAGATAAGAAAGTCATTCATTCTCGAAATACACAATTTGTTTTGTTGATTTAAAATGTGTAGACAACCCAACCCATTTTGTACATAAAGAAATGCAATGGACTGCTTTTAATTGTTTAATTGTCAAAAACACAATGCCATATTAAACTCACAGTCACTGGTTGCCACAACACTCATACTTGACATCAATCCTTTTTTCAGCCTTCATCTTATCCATTGTACTATGTTTGTTTTTTAAACTTGAATATGTATGCACAAGTGCTGAATGAAAGTTGAAATATTTTAAGATGATAAATAGAGATTGACAATGACCTTTTTATTAAAGGATGGAAGTGTATTCATTCACAATAAAGCGTCAATATTACACCTTCACTTCACAATATTTATTTATCATTGTGATTTTTTCTGAATGTAATACATTGAGAAATAGGAGTAGTTTACTTTGTTGATATACCCAAAGAAACATCTATATTATGAGGAAAAAATGGTGTGCACTTGTTTCCAAATTGAAATTCAAAATTCTCAAGATTATTCATTTATATTAAGATATTCATTTATTTCCAACACTGTCTACCACTGTTGTCTCTAAAATCAAGTCAATGAAGTATGATTGTAGTGTTGATTTATCAATGATATGGAGTCTAATCTGGTAGCTTAGGTCTCAACATAAAAGTTTACAGTACTCTTTGTTTTCTCACTTAAACCAACATAACAGCTTATTTATTGGAAAAATATATATTTTATTTTTCACTCTAAGAACTGGAGTGCCCTAATTGCACCTACATGTAAAGAGGTGTATTTACAATTTTTTATTGCCATTGTGATTTTGTCAGACTTTAAATATGATTAATCTACATACCATAAAGCACAACCTAATCCAAACTCTCAATGCTTTAAAACCTTTATCAACTCAATTTCTCAACTATTCTAGACAAACATTTTTTGATAGTTTGCTATAAATTGCTCTTTGTGAAATCAATAATATTGTAATATATTCATGGAGACATAATATTAACACTGAACTTTATGTACATAAATGTTGACTAAAGTGCTGCAATAATGATTTATTTACAAGTTAATATATATATACAGTAAACATTTACACCCAGATAGCGCATATTGTATTTACAAATATCTATATTGTTTGTTTGGTGAGAATGCTTGGAGGAGTAAATCCAGACTACATTGATCAAAACCCTCAAACTTTCTCATGAATCAAGGCATTTTCGGACATGTAACAAATGAATATCAATGGTATGAATTCAATATTTTGATCAATGTCCACTATACTACAAAAGTGAAGCTGTTGCTTCTTGATATGCTTTTTTATTTGTATTACTGTTATATTCTTGATTGTCCCAGATTATGTTATACAGATGATTGGAGTCACATTTGGAGAGTGACAGCGAGTGTGAGACATAGTAAAGCCATATTAAAGACCACAGTCATGGCACCTACAAATATATAGGAAAATGTACTCATTACTTAAAGTCATTGTTCTACATTTCGTTTTTACAGTAAATTGAGGTTACTCAAGATATCTTGATAAGTTGTGTGTCTCTTTTGGCATTTTATAAATCCACTTTGAATATATCATATCCAGATAAAATTTCAAATTCTTAGACATTTAATTGCTTTTTTTATTTTTTGTTAATAGCTCAGCAAAGAAATCAGGTAAAGTTTCATTCATACGTACCATCCTGGCATGCCCCGTCAACACATATTGCATTCTTGCTTATGGCTTTACAATTCATATCACCATAGCAAGTCCCTCCTGTCCCAACTGAAGCAAAGAGTAATATTATACTAAAAAATGAACAATTATGAAATTCTAATTCATTTATAACCATTTGCAATACCAAGATACCTCCTTTATTCAGTTTAAGAAGTGGATGACATCTAAATAGAAAACAGAAATTACACATAATATTTAATGAATATTACAAGTCTATTGACTTATACGTGGAATGTAATAAAGACTTACTCTCTGTGCATGAGGAGCCACTCTCTGTGTGGGTGGGTCCACATCGGCATTTACTAATGGTCATGTTTGGGTTTATGTCACAGAAGCCTGTCCCATGTAGGCAAACCAGACCACTAGATCCATCACATACCTCATCGGATACAGCACCACAATCTATATCTTTTCCCACAGCTATAAAAACATTGAACAGATCAGATTTAAGTGTGGTGCTATATATCAATGATACTTAGTTGAGTATTAGTGTAGTAGGTCTGTCTTTTTTTTGACTGAATCATTGACAGTTTTATTTGAATTGTCGATTGAATGTACATTGTATATAATATTCACAGAAATGCAACTAAAATTGTGGATTGCTAGTTTATACAGAACAGATTTATTTTAAAGAAATAAACAAGGGTTTATTAATACTTTATTTATTTAATGAGTATGTGCAGCTTTTTATAGTAAAAAATTGCATCCAAAAATGAAATGGCCTAATTTGGTGTGATATCCACACAGGATCAAGGATTAGTATGTAAATTAATTTATCAATGTTCACTTACCAACACCACAGTTCATTTTGGAGTAGTCTGGCACATGGGTTGTGTTATCACAGGCACATTTATTATTTCTACACACCATTGTAGGTGAGAGGCAGTCAGCATCCACTATGCACAGTTCATCATGAAGAACTGAAAAACATGAGATACCATGGTTTGCTTTATTGACTGGAGTGCATGGAGTTATAGCTTTTTAGGTTTGCTCTGTACATTTCTCAATTCACAATTTTCATTTGCAGTTGGTGTGTTATTTGGTAATGTGGTCATTGATTTTAATATATTTATACTAAATTTAGAAAAATGTGCATATACCCTTATTTCAATAAATCAAAGATCCCAAATAGTTGTTCATTGATTTAATTGTTTACATACAGAAAATTGGAATACCTTTAGATAAGTCAAGCCTTACTTGGTTCACATGTTGGGTACTTCTTGCCATGAAACCCCAGAGATAGGCTTACATCATTCCTGAGGTTAGTCCTATACCCCTGAGGACAGGAACATGAAGGATACATGGACAAGAAACCATTTCCATAACCATAGCTGGAGTAGGGACTGGAACCTGACTGGCATGTTGAGGAGCCTCCAAAGTTGTTACAACTTCCCCCATCAAAGGAGCTGCTACAGGTTCCAGATGGGCCTACCTCTGGATTTGAGTTGGCACATCTTTCTCCTCCCCATACAGAGACATAGCCACTATTGCAGTCACATCGGTTTGTCTCACTGTTGCAGTAGGAGTTACTTGCTCCACATACTCCAAGTGGTCCTAGCCCATCTGTAGAGCAACTTTCCCCAATCTTCTTAACTGCAAAAAAAACTAGAAATATATCATATGACTAGTGCAGTCTCTGGTTTTCCTCTGATATCTTGTTAAAATATCTACATCTCCCCCAGGATATATACCCATATCAGTGCATATTTCTTGATGAGAAACAATTCTCTTTATTACATCTTAGATGCTATGTTAGTACACAGTTGTGTCTGGCATTGAACACTATACAAACAAAGATTCCTTGATACATGAGAAGTTATTATTTTGTATCACCCTGTAGCCAAAAGAGGGGAATGGGATACTTACTGTCCACACATAAAAAGTTTTTCTCTGAGCCATAAAATCTTGCTGCCTTGCCTCTACTGCACCCGCATACTCCATGGTCGCAGCCGGACTTCATGCATATCAGGTCTCCCAAGTTATCACAGTCACTATCAAATTTACACAGTCTGTGAGAAGAAACTGAAAATATGAGATTTCAGACTTAATTTTTTATCACATTATCGCAGATCTATGTGTTTTTTATTGAAATGAGATTATTATATTATGCAGTTTTGTTTGTTCAAAGTTTTCATTTTTGATCTTTTCCCCAAGTTAGTGTTTCTTTGAACAAATTGAATTTTAGTCATGTTTGACAAATTTTGAGGTAGTCGTTTTTTGTGGTATTATATGTTCCACCATGTACCTGTAGTAAGATTAATATGTATTAGGAGAGGATTCGTGTTTTTCGCATTGAATTGGAGTGTCAGTCAGTACATTTCAATTAAATCATATACAGTCAACTTGATACAAGGGACATTTTCTATACTGACCAATTCTGTTCTTATAGAAAGGTGTATCCATTGGACAGGTTTTACTTTATTGATAAACATTGGTTAGGATCATTGTAATTTAACTGCCGTTGTAAAATGTTTTCCTGCTCATTAAAAACTAAGGACATTGATACAAACCGTTTCAATAGATTTCACAATTTAAAACAATTTCTCAAAAAGTTTATTTTGAATGTTAAATGTCATAGTCAATTTTATATGTTAAATATTTTCAAAAGTCATAGTCAATTTTAAATGTTAAATATTTTCAATAGTCTATTGTCATGCCTCTTGGCAAGCAACTTTTTATCAACTTTTAATATTAATGGAAAAGAACGTTTGAATCAACTAATAGATTGGGCAAATCGTTGACTGTTTGAATTTTTACCTTTTGCGTATTTCAGTATCAGCAAGAGATCAAACCTCTTTATGTTACATCAATATTTAACATTACTCAGACCAGTTGACTTAAAGTGGTTATTGACTACTAGTTATTTCCACCATTTAAGTGGACATCGGCCATATTATGCAATCATTCGATTGTTTCAACCAATAAAGAGTGGGATGACATCATTTGTCCAAGAGTTGCCCATTTCACCAAGAGTTTCGTAATAATTAGCCTTGTGAGTAATGAATATACCTGATGAAGGCTATTGATTACCAATGTTTACAATCCACTCTGTTATTAGAAACATTAGCAGATTAGCCGACATTGAAAATTTTGAGCTCACGAAGAATTATGTGGAGGTGCATTGTATACATTTAATATTCAAATATTTATTCTAGCTTCTGTATTTGTGTGAAGTTCCCTATAGCTACAGTAGTTGACAATATAAAATATAAAAACCAATCTTGAACACAAGTAATGTGATCTGCTCCTGTTATAAATAAACAACAGTAATATAATATTGTGTAATTAGAAACACATGAATTGGATTGGTTGATTCTTTCAAGATCAAAAACATTTTTGAATTTTGATGAAGATTCATCACTCTACATTGTAAAGTGTATGAGAATGTAATACTATGCAAATAATTTATTCTATTGAGGTTGATTCTTTCAACTTGTTTATATATTCTAGTTGAATTTTGACATTTCTTCATCTTTATCATTAATTAATAATTAATTAAAATTTTCTATGTTTGACCCGATATCTACATTTTTTAAACTTAAACTTTGTAAAGGAAACATTGGAATTCTATTATTGCTTCCAACATTTTACACATTCTACCAAGATTGAAAATTCAAGAAACAGATTGAAATTCTTCTGAAATAATACAACCCCTTATGCGTATTTCAAATCTACCTTGTCATTGAAATATGAACCATTTCAGAAATATGTTTCGAAATTCCATAGATAATTGAAACAACCTTGAGAAATTTCATATTTAAGAATTGAAATAAAATTGCTATAGTATTCTATAGAACTGTGTCTGCTCTTACCTGCATTTAAAGCACATACTGCTAATAGGGCTATGAGGATCTGCTCCTGAAATGAAATTAATTTATTTTAATTTTGAATGAGAGAATCCTGAGAGACAATATTATTATTATTATTCAATAATGTATAATTTGAATGCAAGTTTTATTTAACATATAGTTAGTTGACTTACCATATTCTTGATATAAATTCCTTATTGTGATAGATTTAAATTTGAAATGATCTAAATTACGGTTAATCACAGACTCTCCTAATTATGCCCTTTTGTTTGTTGTCAAGTAATATAAGCCATGGTCAGTTTTGTTTCCACAACATTGTGCTGTTGCTAGGTGAAGGGAATAAAGGGAAGGTTGCTGTGGTCAAACTCAGGCCACAACAAAGAAATATTTGTTTAGCCCAAAATGGCATTCATTTTCTAATTAAAATATCCAATGGACTTGCCATATACATTTCAATATTATGAATTCAAAAAACAACTTTTACAACAATACGTTTTGAAATGAAGAAATTAAGAAAATGCTACTTTTGAGAAAGATCTAGTTTCATGAGATTTTATTTGCCTGGCCTTAGCAGATGGTCAATATTGTAATAATTGTTTCAAGGATGACCAACAGAAATTCTGATTTTAAGTTTTTCAGTAGTAAATGCAGTTGTTTTTGACACCTTAATGCTTATTATCAAGAAGGGTGGACCAAGTGTATATGGCATTTAGTTTTAAATGTATAAGATGACAATTGTACAGTAAAACATGTAAGTGGAATAATACCTGTAAAAATGTTCCACTTGGGAGATGTTCCACTCACGGAGATCATCCAATAAGTAAATAGATTATGGACTGTAAAAAGTGTTCCTCTTATGGAGGTGTTCCACTTTCATGTTTTATTGTAATAAGTTTGAGATGGTTTATCTATAGCATCCTCTGTAAAGTAAACCCCAATAGTGCAGATTGCATAACACCTATGTATGAAGCATTTCTTTTAATATCAGGTTTTATTCCAGTGTTCAATTTTTGGGAGAAATCAAAAAAATTTAACAAACTACAAATATATGATATAAAAATTGCCAGATTTTCAAGAGAATGACTGCAAAAACATGTCTTAAGTTCCAGATTAGTAGATTCACAGACAATATCAAACTATAGACCTGTAAGGATAAGGCTTGCATGTTTGCCTTAAATGTTTGATTTACAATGTGTAGCTTCCGAACCAATGTTTGACATGGAAACATTTCTAAATGGAATAACCTTTGAATAACACCAATACTGTAATTCTGTTTGCACCAATACATTAATTCCGTTGCTGAACAACTTTGCTAAGTTTTATATTGTCAGTCTTTAAAATGTAAACTACTTTTTGTTTGTTTTAAATTATAAATCTAAGATTGGTGTATCATAAAAACTGACCGCACAAACCAATGGATCTTAAACACTGCTAGCAAATATATTTAAAGGAGAACCTGAAATAGCCGTATGACTCTCATACAAAATGACATTGATCACCAGTTGATTGATAAAGGACGATTCTCGGTTTGGAGAACAGTCTCCTGGGCTAATAATTTTTTTCATGAAAAATATAGAAATATTACCCAAATTAAACTATGAATATTCAAAAGAGGACATTTAAATCTACAAGATGTAAAAATAACAAATTGGTCTGAAGCAGGGATAATGCTCAATTAGACTGATTCAATAAAATACAAGTCTTGATTTTGGGGAAAGAAGTTCATCAGTGTACTGCGCTAATATTTTTTTGCGAAAAATCTAAAAATATTACCCAAATTAAATTATGACTATTCAAAAGAAGACATTCAAATCTATATTATGTAAAAAATCAAATTTGTCCAAAGCAGGGATAATGCTCATTTAGATTGAAGAACTTCGTTCTCCAAACCGAGAATCGTCCTTTAATGATTCTTGTAATGAGATAAATTGATCCACAGGAGTTGCCATTCTGACTATTCATACAATTTCAGGGTGCATGATGTACATTGTCACTTTCCACTGTGTGAGTCTCATTATTTTTCAGGACTTGAAATTAAAGATGCAGTGTCTCTTAGGTTTCTCTCTCTGACAATCGGTGATGAAGAACAACAAATTGACAGAATTGAACAAAATTTTTGCTTTTTTGCTCTCCATTCCATTTGATACATGGAGGAATACTATGCCCGCTAATTTATTTATATTCTTATACTTATGTTATTTGATTCATGAACATAATATACATAATATATTTTTATTTGCTTTTTGTTTTATTCGATTCATGTACATTATATATATATAATGTATACTTTCAGTCAGCCAGTGGCCCTGAGGCAGCTCATAGAGCTTTACATTGGTAGATGCCACTCTTGTTGGAAACAGCCTGAAGTTGTCGTCTGGTTAGAGAGTAATGTGCGTGAAGTCATTACCAGAGTGAATGCAAAGGACCCCTTAGTAGAAACATATAAGAAACAGTATGTATTTTTGCTTTCAGAATATTATCTAATGCCAGATTTACAATCAGTATCAAAAGCATGTTTTAGTCTGAGAAAATATATTATTTTTCAATTTGGTATTTGCCCCTTATTCTAAGACTATGATCACCCTTGGTATCTTTAAATTTTCCAACTTCATTATAAAAAATATATCTGATAATTAAGTCTTTTGGGAACAATACCTGTTAGGGTTAGTTAATTAATATTATTTCCAACAGTCACAAAAAATTGGTAGTGTCAGTATGTCAGAGATGCTATTATATACCATGAAATAAATTCAGTGGATCAATGGAACAAAAATGTTAGATAATTATCGATAAGTCTGATGGATATTAATTGCAATAAGTCTATCGATCATGAATTATTGGCAATATTCACATATACCCAGTCAACTTACTATAACTTTCTTAGATTGTAAATCTTACATCATAATCTTCTTCATTAGTACATTGATTATCCCATTGTTTAAGTTTATTTTGGGTGATCTCTATGGGTGACTTAAATGTAAGAGGAGTTGGGGTCCATGGGATTCACTGCATACAATTGTATACTGTAGATACACTTAAAGTGTGCGCCTGACCCGGCTACGTATAGCACAGAGTTTATACTGGCGGATTAGACTAGTTCATTTTTTATATGTGTGTGAAAGCTTTCTCTTATTTGCGTTTTTTCGTTTAGTACGGTTTTGTTATAATTGCCGAGGTCATATAACCGGGATAAAACAATGATTATCGTTGACTGCCCACACACAAAACATACGTTGAGTGAACAGTGTTATTACAAACAACAGGCTTTAGAATACAAAGCGTAGTGTGATAATAAGCTGCACACTACCACTGCTGCATGTACATATTACTAATTTACTAGGGCTCCCAAAGAGTGGATAGGGAGGTTGTGTTTGTCACTTTTAAATTTTACATTTCAAAATTGTCATTTCACATGTCATAATTTGTTGGTTTCATTCGTTTAGCCAATCAAAACATTGTAAAACAATAAATTGTCTCAGAAACAAGTCAAATTCTTTACTTCAGAGAATATTTTTAATTTATTGAGACTTTCGACTAATATCCCTTAGTCTTTTTCAAAATATAACAGCATGTATACATTTATGTGACGTCATAAACAGACAATGGAAAATTTAATTATGTAACAAATGACCTAGTAACCTAAAAAATAACAACAACAAAAAACATAGATACGAAAATCAATAAATTAAAAATATTCTCTGAAGTAAAGAATTTGACTTGTTTCTGATATATTAACCAGAGAGATGAACTTACATAGAAATAAATTGTCTGTTACATACAATCAATTTTGTTTGATTTGTTGTCAGAATAAAGTTACGTTCATCTGAATCCATGTATCAAAACAAAAATCCTATTTTCACTTCAAAATACTTCAGTGAGATGAAGGCTCGGAATTGTCACATGCAATAATACTTATTGTCGTATTCGTTATTTTATCTTCTCGATAGTAGCATTTAGTCGCACATTTGATGCCAGGTCACCTTGTCGCGTACCTCTTGGGGAACCCCACATTTATGTGTGTACTCATGGAAGTAAATTCCCCGGTGTAGCCGAGAGCCACAAACTTTTCAACAGGTTCGAAATGACCAATTTCTCTCATATATATACTCTAAATATTTTATTATTTAGCACCTACAAAGTATTGCTAATAACCATATGTAATTTCAATAAGGAAACTTATCTGGCTACATATAAATTCAATATCAACACTAGCTGTTCTCTCAACACGTCCTGGCTTACCTTGTGGTGACAAACCCTGGATTTTCGCTATTTATAGTTTATCAACACCTGGACGCATGCGCATTTTATACTTTATCGGGCACTTTAATTCGACACTACTTAATTTGGTGGATTTGCTCAATTTCAAATATTGGCGGCTATTTAATTTGTCGGAGTCAGAACTGAGCTCAAGTTTTATCATAGATCTGGAAATAAACATTTCAGATGCATGTGTTGAGCTTTCAGTAAGTCTTGGTACAGCACTGACATCCAAATGGAATACTTACACAAGTGAAATAATAATTGCAAATTACAAATTCTCCAGGGATTATCCTAAATAGATCTGAAATTTGGCAGATTTTTAAGCGGATTTTTTCAATCCGCCAATCTGTCAAATTAAAACTGTAGCCAAAGTAAGTGTATCTACAGTATTAAGTCAATACTCCAAATAGTTAGATTTCAATTGATTCCCATTATCAACTACATAACAATGTGTACATGGATGTTGTTGTCAATATGTTGCACAATGAAATATCTTCTTGTTACAATAATGACTCCTGCAATGAATGTTTTACTTTATTCTACTGGGGTGAATGCATACATACTGTACGTATTTTCAGTCATGTGATCTGTTCCTAGCCAATAAAAATTTAGAAATATTCCAATGATACGACAAATGCATAGATGCCTATATGGAGAAACCCTTAAAGGGTGACGCATATCGTTTAGCAAATCGAACGCTCGTTTCTGGTGTTGCTCACCGTTTAGTATAAAAGGCCCGATCCCGGAATAATACTCAAGGGTTCACAGGTTTGAGGTCGTTGTATCAACACCTCTAACTGTTATATAGCATAAGTATATTATAGATCGTCACACATTTATAAAAGGGTGATTTTTATTTTGACAAATCAATTCCACATTTATGGGCGAAGTTTCAGGATCATCTATTTGTGTATAATAAGGAAAAATTAGCATCTAAATTTCCCCATAACGTAATAGCACACAGCTCATATGAAATATCCTACAAATGAAACAAAGCAAGACAAACCGGTTTCTAATGCAAGGATTTATATTGGCTGTTGTACATGTATTCTTTGAACGCAATCACTCTTTGGATAACGTTTTCAAAATCATTATAAACGGATTACTTTATCTCAAAGACAATTTCAATAAACTGGATTTTACAGAACTCCCCTTATTTCTTAAAAATGGACTGATCCAGTTGATTCGCCTAGAGCCGCCATATTGTTTTTATACGGGATGCTAATCGGAACCCTTTAAGAATATACTGTATATCATCACACATATTTTCCTTCTGCATTATCATATAATGCCCTTATTATATAATGCTCTTATAATGGCTGTATACTTTCTCTTGTACATATTTTAGGTGCGCAGGTAGATACAAAGGGACACCTCGGAATATATATCGTCACATACTTATGTCTGAAATAAAAGATGCCACTGCTGCATTGCCTCCAGTAAGTGCATTTTGATTTATATTCTATTAAAAGATGTCACTGTTGCTTCACATGATTTTGATGGTGACATCTATCTACTACAGTAAAACCTGTGTACAGTGAACACTATTGGAGCCACAGAAATGTGTTCACTGTAGTTTGGTGTTCACTACAGAGAGGTGATCTTATACTGAAGTCAAATACTAGACACAGGTGTTCACTAAAGACATTAAAGTTTACATTAGCTAGATTGATGACGTCATATTTTGAATATAGCGCTATGGTTAATCCTCAAACACCTCTTTTTGTTAGTGAACATTGATTCTTAAAACCTATTAGATCATAAGTTTTGCCAATATATCCAAGCTTCGTATGTAACCACCACAGCTTTTTGTGGACTGTGTTTGACATCTGGCGGTCAGTGACTGTAACAAATGGCAGGTGGTGATGTGTTAATTTCTTGATTGGTATAGCAAAGTTTATAGGAAATTATATTATATTTATGATTACAGGAGCTGTCAGCAAGCCCAGTGATGAGCTATGACCCCCTACCCCCCAAGGACTCCATAGTGTCCTACACTAGGCCTGAAAGACCTCGGAGAATCAACCAAGATTCTAGCAATCCTCTCTCCATGTTCTTTCGATCTCTCCTGCCAAACTTTAACCCTGATGTGAGTATGGTTGCATGTGTTTATATGTTATAAATTGCACAATGATTCTAGTAAATGACAGTTGATATTTGATATTGGCTAATTAGATCAGTAGATTTTTCACCATTTTCGCAAGAATCTCAGTATCTCTTTATCTTGAAATGTCATTTGAAAATTGCCACATAGTGGTCTTACATTTAAAATGCAGAACTGATTTAACCTTCTTGACTTCTTGGGTGTTCATACATGATTGTACATTCTAATCTTTGGAAATCTATATTACCAAAGACATATACGGAAATAACATTTCTATTATGTCACCACCCAGTTGTCACCACCAGAAGTGGTGACATATTGTCATAGTCATCAACTTTTTTGTGGCGGGTGTTCGGATGTTTGTTTTCCAAAATCTTTAACAGCATTCAGCAGATGATGTCTGTAACAAATGGCAGGTAGTGACATTTTGCATGTTAATGCCTTGTTTGTGATATAATATACAAAAAATGATATTTAGGCTTGAATTTTTTTCGCAGGAACCTTTGGGTGATGAAGAGCCTCAGGGAGCAGAAGGGGGTCAGGAATTACGCCAGGGGATAGGCGCCTTAATGCATGCAATGCGAGACCTGCTCAATAATATCCAACCTGTGCCCCCGCCACGGGAAGATGGAGGTGGGCAGGGGGAGGGAGTTGATCAACAAGAATGGCAGGATGATGAAATTAATGAAATGGACTAGAAGGGAGGAAGTGTGATAGATGGATGTGTCATATTTCATGTACATTACATATTATGCAGTTGGTGAATTTTAAAACTATAGTCATTTATTTATATCACAGAAATCACTGTTTGAAATATTTTGTGCCTATAATAAAAAATGATACCAAAAATATCTTATATACTCTAAGAGCGAGGAGGAAAATTCTTAATAAATGGAGTATAGTTGGTTTGGCAGCATTTTCAGTTAGAGGGAAGTCTTGGATGAAAATTCTACCTAGGTGATAGCTTCACAGAGTGGTACATAATTCTTTTTTTTCAGGGGTTAGCCCCCACCCCCCAAAAACACCCCACCCCCGGAAAATAATTTTTTCATTCTCAATAATTTTAGATATCTTGATGTTTGTAAGTTACATACATAGCCATTATATATATGAATCATTTGCAAAATAAATAATGCCAATCACTCCTACAGAATTTGGAAAATACTACCAAGTATGTACCCCAGGGGGCAAATTCGTGACCCATTTCTTACTATTTAGAGCCTCACTTTTCAATCAGACACTGGAAGACATTGAAAAAGTTCATGTGAAGTGCCCAGTAGCAAGGCTATAAGCCCTGAAATGTTCAAACTAATTGAATCAGTAGGAGCCGAGAAAAAATTGTTGATTTTTTGAAAAATTTGACATTTTTGAGAGGGGTGGTTTTGTGTATGACTATAGCTGATGCCTATGGTTTCCAGATCTATCCCTCTTTGATGATAAATATGGTTTAGAAGTATGGAACTAAGATGTAAAAAATAATTAAAATGGGTTTTAAGGAAGTTTCATGTTTTAAACAAGTTCAAAATTCCAAGAATTGTACAATATTAGGTCTGAATTTACAAATTTTAGGTAAGACCTTGGATGAGCCTTAGATTTTTTACATCTGTCCCCCTTTGATGATATTTATGGTTTTGTAGTATGTAACTAAAATGTACAAAATAATTTAGATGGTTTTTAAGAAGGTTTAAGAATTTTAACAAGTTCAAAATTTGAAGAATTGTACAATATCAGGTCTGAATTCTCGAATTTCAGGTATGACCTTGGACGACCCTTTTGTTTTTTACATCTGTTCCACTTTGATGATATTTATGGTTTTATAGTGTAAAACTAAGATGTAAAATATAATTTAGATGAATTTCAAGAGATTTAAGGATTTTAACAAGTTCCAAATTTGAAAAAATTGTACAATATCAGGTCTGAATTTACGAATTTCAGGTAAGACCTTGGATGGCTCTTATGTTTTACATTTGTCACTCTTTGATGATTTATTGTTTTGTAAAGTGGAACTAAGATGTTAAAAATGATTAAGATGGTTTTGAAGAGTGTTTAGGGATTTATGAGTCCAAAATTTAAAGAATTATACAATATCAGGTCTGAATTTTCGAATTATAGGTATGACCTTGGACGACTCTTTTATTTTTTACATCTGTCCCTCTTTGATGATAATGGTTTTATAGTGTGAAACTAAGATGTAAAATATAATTTAGATGAACTTTAAGAGATTTAAGGATTTTAACAAGTTCCAAATTTGAAAAAATTGTACAATATCAGGTCTGAATTTACGAATTTCAGGTAAGACCTTGGATTGCTCTTATGTTTTACATTTGTCACTCTTTGATGATGTATTGTTTTGTAAAGTGGAACTAAGATGTTAAAAATGATAAAGATGGTTTTGAAGAGTGTTTAGGGATTTTTGAGTCTAAAATTTAAAGAATTATACAATATCAGGTCTGAATTTTCGAATTATAGGTATGACCTTGGACGACTCTTTTATTTTTTACATCTGTCCCTCTTTAATGACAGTTGTAGTTTTATGGTATGGAACTAAGATGTAAAATATAGTTTAGATGAATTTTTAGAAGGTTTAAGGATTCTAACAAGTTCAAAATTTGAAGAATTGTACAATATCAGGTCTGAATTTGCAAATTTTAAGTAAGACCTTGGATGAGCCTTATATTTTTTTACACCTATCCCTCTTTGATGATATGTATGGTTTTGTAGTGTGGAACTATGATGTAAAAAATAATTTAGATGCATTTTAAGAAGGTTTAAGGATTTTAATTTGAAGAATTGTTCAATATCAGGTCTGCAATGAATGAATTTCAAGTATAACCTTGGTTAGTCCATATGATTTTAACACCTATCCCCTTTTCATGATTTATTTGGTTTAGTTGTGTGGAAATATGTATAACATAATTTACATCGATTTTAAAGAAGCTTAACATTTTAAACAAGTTCAAAATCTTGGCGTATTGTACAATATCAAATCTGAAATGAATTTTAAAATTTTTAAATGAATTTAAAGTATAACCTTGCTTGGCCCTTACATTTTTTACATCTATCCTTTTTTGATGATATATATGGTTTAGTAGTGTAGAGCTAATATATAAAACATAATCAAGATGGGTTTTAAAGAAGTTTAAGGTTTTAAATAAGTTCAAATTTTCACAAATTGTACAATATCAGAGCTGATATTAATGAATTTTAGGTATTATGTTTTTTACATCTATCCCTTTTTGATGTCATATATGCTTTAGTAGTGTTGAACTAATGTAAAACAAAGTTTAGACAGGTTTTAAAAAAGTTTAAGGTTTTAAGGTTATATTCGTTTTTTACATATATCTCTCTATGATAACAAATATGGTTTTGTAGTATGAAAATAAGATGTAAAACATAATTTAGATGGGTTTTAAGGAGGTTTAGGGTTTTAAACCTGTTCAAAACTTGACAAATTGTACAATATCATATCTTCTGACATTAACGAATTTCAGGTATGTATCTCTCTATGATGATATATATGGTTTAGTAGTATGGAACTTAGATGTAAAACATAATTTAAATGGGTTTTAAGGAAGTTTAAAGGCAGAATCAGATCTATGGGTGTGACAAAATTACAAGCAACATGTACAATTCATGTACCAATCTATTCCTTACAATCTCAAATACAATATCTCCAAAAAGATTCATGATGTGTTAAAAATTGATGAAGTAATAATGGATTCAAAAGCAAAAATGGGTGAAAAATGTTTAAATTCTCCCAAAATAATGGAAAAATAATATATTATTGTAGAAATCTTTAGTTTTCCTGAAATTAAGTGTGCACTTTGGGGATTATTAGCAAACAGACATGAAAAGGAATGACATAAGCCAGAAATATTCAAAAGGTCCATGTGCAGTATGGCAAGTGATTTTAGACGGTCATATATTTCACCATGAATACTTTCTGGGCATAAATACAGTGGTTTTTATTAAAAATATATATTTTCTCTCAAGTGAAGTCCCCATGAAAAATTATAAATTGGGACCCCATGTCAACAATTTTTTCTAAATGTTTAGAGCCAACCAAGGTTATACTTGAAATGTAGTGTTAATTGCCGAATTAATATTGTACAATGCGCCAAGATTTTGAACATGTGAAAATCACTAAACCTTCTTAAAATCCATCTTAATTGTTTTTTTACATCTTTTTTACATCTTAGTTCTACACTACAAAACCATACATACATGTATCTTCAAAGAGGGACAAATGTAAACAATTTATGGCTCACCAAAGGTCTTACCTGAAATTCGTAAATTCAGACCGGATATTATACAATTTTTCAAATTTTGAACATGTGAAAATCCTTAAACCTTCTTAAAATCCATCTTTATTGTTTTTTTACATCTTAGTTCCACACTACAATACCATACATATCATCAAAGAGGGACAGATGTAAACAATATATGGCTCACCAAAGGTCTTACCTGAAATTGGTAAATTCAGACCGGATATTATACAATTTTTCAAATTTTGAACATGTGAAAATCCTTAAACCTTCTTAAAATCCATCTTTATTGTTTTTTTTACATCTTAGTTCCACACTACAATACCATACATATCATCAAAGAGGGACAGATGTAAACAATATATGGCTCACCTAAGGTCTTACCTGAAATTCGTAAATTCAGACCGGATATTATACAATTTTTCAAATTTTGAACTTGTTAAAATCCTTAAAAATTCTTAAAATTCATCTAAATTATATTTTACATTTTAGTTCGTTACTTTAAAAGCATAAATATCATTAAAGAGGGACAGATATAAAAACATAAGGGTCATCCAAGGTCATACCTTAAATTCGTAAATTCAGACCTGATATTGTACAATTCTTCAAATTTTGGACTCATTAAATTCCTTAAACCTTCTTCAACACCATCTAGGTTATTTCTTACATATGAGTTTCACACTACAATACAATAAATATCATCAAAGAGGGACAGATGTGAAAAATATATGGCTCACCAAAGGTCTTTCCTGAAATTCGTAAATTCAGACCTTATATTGTACAATTCTTCAAATTTTGAACTTGTTAAAATCCTTAAACCTTCTTAAAAACCATCTAAATTATTTTGTACATCTACGTTCCACACTGCAAAGCCATAAATATCATCAAAGGGGGACAGATGTAAAAAATCTAAGGCTCATCCAAGGTCTTACCTAAAATTTGTAAATTCAGACCTGATATTGTACAATTCTTCGAATTTTGAACTTGTTTATACATTAAACTTCCTTAAAACCCATTTTAATTAGTTTTTTCATCTTAGTTCCATACTTCAAAACCATATTTATCATCAAAGAGGGATAGATCTGGAAACCATAGGCATCAGCTATAGTCATACACAAAATCACCCCTCTCAAAAATGTCAAATTTTTCAGAAAATCAACAATTTTTTTCTCGGCTCCTACTAATTCAATTAGTTTGAACCTTTCAGGGCTTATAGCCCTGCTACTGGGCACTTCACATGAAATCTTTCAATGTCTTCCAGTGTCTGATTGAAAAGTGAGGCTCTAAATAGTAAAAAAATGGGTCACGAATTTGCCCCCTGGGGTACATACTTTGTACTATTTTTCAAATTCTGTAGGAGTGATTGGCATTATTTATTTTGCAAATGATTCATATATATAATGTCTATGTATGTAACTTAAAAACATCAAGATATCTAAAATTATTGAAGATGAAAAAATTATTTTCCGGAGTAGGGGTGTTTTTGGGGGGTGGGGGCTAACACCTGAAAAAAAAGAATTATGTACCAGTCTGTGAAGCTATCACCTAGGTAGAGTTTTCATCCAAGACTTCCCTCTAACTG